AATAAATGACTTTGATTAATGACGAGGAGGAGTAATTATGTTCTACTATTACAATTACTTTTTTGCTTGGAACCTCAAACACATGCAAGGCCTCAGACTAAGGCATACATGTTCATGCCTTTTGGCCAGCTACAGCAAATTACGAACGCACGGACGGTTAAGCATAATGAAAACCCGAATTATTTGCCAACATGCCTTTTTTTTTGTTTGCCTAACTCGCCCGTTTTGTTATCAAAGGATCATCGATTAAGAAACCGCTGCGTCTGCAATACAAACGTCACTTAAGACATGGGGAGAAATTGCAGCATTTACGATAAAAATTACCGTCTACGTTGCAGCTAATTCTTTGGCCCTTCGATAGGCGACCCGCTCGACAAAGATTCCCGGCAGAAACACCATAATCTACGGTAGACTCCCTCAAAATAATAGGAAGAATCAAAAGCCACTTAGAAACGAATTAAAAGCTCTAAGACAATGGTTCCACCAATTGAGGTATTGTTGGCGGTGAAACAGATTCAAAACCCTTAAGACCCAATATATTTGCCGATAAAGCTAGAAAGCCACGTGTCAGAAAACTAACTTCCTGCCGCAATTTGAATGCTATGCTCTCCGCTGTCTGGCTATCAAGGTCTAAGGATTGTCATCGAACACATGTTTAACAAGTGCAAATGTCCCTCGGCTACTCACTGAGCGAATCGGAAGTTCAATATGATACATACCCAAAGCAAATAAAAATCATGTAATATCGCAATAAGTTTACATTCTACTTTTCTTTTAAGCAATACATTTTAAAGAACACAAATATTTTTTAAAAAAAACATTGGAGCTATCCATTCTTCTTTCCGTTTCTATCATCACGACCGAACGAATGTGGACAACACTAAGCGTGTAGTAGGAAATTCAATCATAGTTAAGGGTTTCCTATGGTAGTTTCTGCATGTGTGAAATTCACTTATCCTATGAGATGTTAGGCGTGCTACCAAGCTGCCAAGAGTCTTCGGCCCGCCTGTGCTAATTGTTTTCAGTATCTGACGTCCAAAACAAATCGAGACCTTCGTCACCATAGTCAATATACGCAGCTCTTCCGCACGACCACGAAAAACTTACCCGTTCTGGTGTCCACCTAAATCGAGCATCACAAGACTGCTTTTCGACCCTATCGACAACATTTTTAGCTATCTCTAGGATCACCAATCCCCATCCTGACAATTATTGCTTTGGCGTCACTATACTAGATACAATCAGTGCACATGGACGCATCGCAGTACCACGTCGGTGCCAATTACTACTCTTTAATACCATTGGGCACATAGTTCAGAGACCCAGTGAGTAACTTACCAGTACTTAAATACCAGTACTTGCAAAGTGTGGCAACGTTTTAGTCTACTATTCGTTCAGCAGTGTCCCTTGCTTTGAACACTATATATGGGTTTAATGTCGTACTGTCAATAAGCTTATCCGCTTAGAAGGCATTGCCCCTTGGCAGGACAAAAACGCCTTCGAGGTACGCGGTACAGCCTCGCAAAGACGCGTTGTGGACACTTGTCTTTAAGATCGGAACAGACAAATATTGATTCGTTACTAGCAAGCTTCAGAGTATTTGCTCGATATCTGAAATTAGCACTTCGTTGCAGCGAGCATATGAATATGCCAGCATCGAGTTTAAATTTTAACACGCTATTACTACTGCTGAAAGACAGAAACAATATAATGGGCAGAATTGTGTCAACACTTCTTAAATAGAGTGGATAACGAATCATTACGTTCCGTGTGACCATTGGCAAGCGTTGGTGGGTGAGGTTGTAGACGTGAACCATGAGTGACGACAATTCATCGCCCGAATCTGTGTCGGATCCAGAGGCCAATGAGGATCAGCCACCACCTAAAGAGGCTAAAGCGCCAGCAGGGTATGATTTACCTTCCGATTTCTATATGTACGATAATTTTGTCGATTGACGTTTGACACCGCCAAGATTTCCGTGTCGCCGCCCCTTAGACATGGCGTGTAGGAACGCTAATTGTCGTGCCGCACCGGTATGCAAGACGTATGATCTAGAACATTTGTGTGAATAGATATATATTCATGTGTTCAGCTTGGGTCCCTGATTGCCCATAATTAGCTAGTGGACAGCGCTTGAACCGATTAGCCTAGAGAAGTCCGTTCTCTGTAGATAAAATTAATGACTGCCCGATTCACAAATGCATACAGGTGTTTCGAGGTTGTTCATTATATACTGACGGACTTCTATCCTATTCTGTTACAGAGAAGGGGCGGCACCTCGAGCCAAAGGAGGGTAAGTTCATCGGTTGCATTCCCTAATGTGGAGTCTTGCCACGTTTTACTCCAGGTTTAAGTATTGATTTTGTTCTTCAGATCAGTTATTAGCATTATCCCTTATTAGCCTCGATTTTCGAAATTTTTGCGGTGGAAAAATCATATCATCGATGATATTCAGGTCAGTTAAATGTAGCTGCCCAGTGAGCTGTTAATATTAGGAACAGACTCTGCTGTAGTATTAGGTGGTTATTTAGTCTAAGTGTGAAGTGGGAGTATTTCAAGGAACTCACATTTCGATCTGCTTTATCCTGATTCTATGGCATCTGCTGTGTCCTGTTTCTATGGCATCTGTGATCATGCGTACTGCTGATGTGTTCGGCGTTTCTTCACACGACCTAACCTATTTGATTGACGGCCGGCGGCGTTGATTACGATTGTAGATCAAGCACGTGGTTCATTATAGGCTTCGTTGTACTACTTGTTGTTGTTGGAGCACTTGTAATCTTCTTCGTAGCCGGCGGACTGAATCCTTCTGGAGGTGCAAATAGCACAGATACAAGCATGCCAGATGAGCTAGGTACGGGTGGAATGACGCAAATGTCGGCTATGACTACCGCAGGAGGTGAAGGTGCACCAAATGCTATGCTTCGTGCTTACGAATCTCTGTCAGAACCTGTTTACTCGCAACTAGCTTTCACAGAACAACGTTCTATGTATACTGACCAAGACAACAGATGTCCGTATGAGATGTTTACTGTGGGAGCACAGGTGATAGAGTTTCGAGGAACGATATGGAACAAGAATCTCGACATACACCCCGTTCTTCAAGGGTCAGACCCCGAGGACCACTTCATGGTACGTGTATGTTTGAGATGTACATTTAATTAAAAAATATTATTTGTGGAAATTACTACTACTACAAATGTATTGTGTTGTTTTAGACGGACATAATAGTTCGACTAGACAAGCGCGATCTGCGTGAAGACAAGGGAGCGTATGTAGCGATAGTACTTCCCGCGACACCGAAGAATACGACCTTGTTTTTCCATTTCAATGGCTGCATGAAAGTTCCTGTACATATCGAGACGATGAACAACGTAGACGCCCATCTCCCTCGGTCGGTATTTACGTTCAGTTTTTTGCGAAATTCTTTATATTGTATCGCCATCATAAGTGGAGAAATACTGTGCGTAAAGGCCTTGTGATTAACATAAAAACGTTTGCTCGCAGAATAAGGTACAAGGTCGTTCAGATGATGAAACAACAGAAGCACGAAAGTGTGTCGGATATTAAGTGCAGCGACTTGATCGATCCACGTGTCAAAGACCGAATTGCGATCCGCGTGTTACTCGATTTTGCCTACGGTCGCAAATCGCCAGAGCTAAGGGTAGTGCACTGCACGCTTCAAGACCGCAAGTGTCGCGTAATTTACAAGGTTCAGGTGAGGCTGATCTGGAGGTTACGGTCAGAAATCGGTTAGGATATAGATTACCTATGATACCCGTTGCTACTATGTCACAGCATAATCCACGTAGCTAATTATCGTGCTAATTGTTGTGCTCAACAGGCCGACGGTTTATCAACGATAACAAGTCCCGCACGTGTGATGATTTTTTCTGGAAAACTTCCTTCTAATACCGATGACAAAAAACGCAAAACTTCGCCTGTGTTAGAGTCCTCCGTAGCCATTGAAAGTTGGTGTATGCCGAGCGACGGTGATGGATTTTTCCCCAATCGCTTAATGGTAAGCGAGGACAGTGATAATCCAGGTGGCTTCGTTCCGCCCGATGGCACTGCAAATCGGCGATGGTTTGATTGATCTGTCGATCATATTAGTCAATCGCTAATCTAAAGTGCATTATCAACCAACACCATTTGCTTGCTCCTGGTCATCTTGATTCCCACCTCAGATTGCTTCTTACGTGATCAGTTAACCCGGGGTATCACTTGTCTCGATATAGCGTTCTTTCTTCAAAAGGCTGCGAATTTGATCTGCCTGTTGATTTGTCTACAGCCCGACCCTACTAAGACATTCCCTTCGTCTAACAATAAATGGCTTTGAAGCCGAAGTTTCTACTTCCTACTTCCTACAACTGCTTGTGTTCTTTTGGCGTTTATGGGGCGTGAATGGGGCGTGAATATGGCTAGTTAGAGGTAGTTGAATAGGTTAGTGGTTATTCTAAACCGGGGAAATGGATGCATGCAATACAAACTGCGGTAGCATGGCACGCATGTTATGATCCTTTGGGAACGTCGTTTACTCGCTTTGTACACTGTAATGCTAAGGGGGCCGTAATGCTATGGGGCCCACTAAAGTACCGATCGAAAGGTCCTCATAAACGAAGAGTTGCGGGATTTCACATGCAGGTCCAAATAACACGATTTATAAAAACCACAGTGAGTCATTAGCGAAAAATCAGTTTATGAATGGTTATGCCCCGATAAAACTCGCTAAGGTTAAAGAAAGCCAAGAAGAATCGCTGGTTCATGCTCGATGCAGGTATTAATAAATGAAAGCTAAGGCAAAAAAGTAGAAATTGTATTAAAAAGGTAGTAAGTACTAAAAAACGTAGTATGATTATATGTATGATGATTAACAAAATCGACGATAGTGATCTGCGGGCGACATATCAAACGTTTTTCCGGATGCACTTTGGTGCCAGGACATACTATAAATGACCATTAGACGAATGAAACCTTCCATCGCGGCGTCAGGTAATATACGTGGTTAAACCCAGAAATTTCTTAATCGAGGCTAAACTTTCTTTTCTATTTTTATAATTTACCTGTCAACTAAATCAGGCAGAACATACGGGGTACAAAACTAGGTAGAAGAAACTCATTTCCATGTCAACTATATGGGACACACCCGATGTACATCAACAACACAAATCATCTACGCTCCGTAATAGATGATAAAATATATAAAACAAATACAAATACAAATAACAAACAAAAACGTCAGTGTTACAAGGTAACACTCACGTACAGCACCGTCTAACACTTTCATGGTATCTATTCAAACTTCAACGCGTATTACTAATAATGAAGCCTGCTTTTCTCATATATTAGGCAAAGAGCCTCCAGGAAGCGCCCAGCAACACATGATGAAGCCCATGTGACTTTGCTGATTACCCTAGATCATTTAAGCGGCAGAAAATAACCAATACATTCTCTTTTCCTTTGAAAAATATAACTTTCCTACAGTTGAAATATGCGATCGCGGTATTCACGACATATTTCAACAACTCCGGGAGGCTACCATTGAACTACCTTTATCACAAATTTTTTCAAATATTTTTGAACAAAATAAAGGTTTAAGACATTCGTCTGCTTTTAGTAATTAGATTTTTGGCGGCTAGGTATAGATCATATCACCCGTTTTTCCCTTAATTCCGAACCGATCTAATTCGAGCACTGAGCTGGTCCTACCCGATACTTCTCAAGAGATTTACCGGGATAGATCGCTATTAACGAAGTGCACCTACGCCAGTGATTTACTCTTTATCAATTGCTCTGACTATTGCATTTAGACATGTGCTTCATTTGGTCTGGGTTCTCGTGCGTTCAGTTGTTGACGGCAATCGGTCGAATTACAGCATTGTTGCGAAGAAACGCCATCGGATTGAGCTGCTAATATTAAGAAACAGCCGTGATACTGAGTATCTTTTATTAGAGATAACTGTTAGAATAGGTAACAAGGATAAAATGCCGAGAGATGCACGTTCCGTCCGAATTTCAATTTCAGCATCGTCACTCTTATTACGACCCTCAATCATCGTTCAAAACGGCTTTCGATTCGATATTTCCAATACAGTGCGCCTTAGAAATCTTTCCAGCAAATTTCGGGTTGTCATAGCAAACGAAGGACGCGCAGACTGGATCCTTCGTGGTCAACCTTGAATCTGCTTAGACTAGCTTATTTATAGGCCCCTATTCATACTAAAAGTATTTTTGCTGGGAAGCTTGTAGTGATCATAATAACTTAATTTTACCTATTTAGATCGCATTCGGTTTTTCGTATGGTGACGACAAGATGCAGCCGCAATACGAAACTATGTAGCGGCCATACACTCTTGCGGTACTTGAGGACCTGCAAAGCGACATCACGATAAACTTCGAAGTAGCGAAAATATGGACGGCTTGAAATAGTTTTATGGCGTCAAGGGCCTCTTGGAGAATTTTTTATTCAGACAATTTGCGGAGCGGCTGGAATTCTCGTAAATAAAAAGCTCAGTCACGCACGGCTTGTGATCGGGGCAGAAGCGGCACTTTATTACCTCAGGAATTCAGCGACTCTTTTCTGTAACTGACAAGTGCAGAAGTGGATTCGGGAAATTACTCGTGAACGGCCGCGTAGTAATTTCTAATAGCACTTAACGGAGGTAAAAGTTCGACGAAAAAAACACTCCTCTCATGATCGCGGCCCAGTACGTTTAATACGCACATTAAAGACGTCATTACTTATTGACAAGGACGACATTATATTCGCTATAAACCCGATAAAAGGGCTATATCGGTATTGACTATATGTTCACTAAAGAATTTGGAAAGTAAACATGAGAACTAGTAGAAGAATTGCAAATGGTATTCTTCTTCAAACAACTTCAACAGTCTATTCTGTATTCAAAGACTGACCAGAGAGTGGCAAAGGGGCACTATCATATAACAAATAAATAAGATTCTCTACCTTCACCGCTCGACACTTGCTCGGAAACTACTCGTTTTCACAAATGGAAGTTTTAATAACGATACCAGTACAGCATCACACATGCGGAGGCGCAGTCAGCGTAGATCGGTTCCAGTAAGTTCACATCAAATCATAACAAATTGACTGCATTAGGCGTTCCCGGAGAATATCAATAGATGGTTATAGTCTGCGAACTTCACCGAGTGCACTTCGATTCGTATTAGAACATGCCTGAGGCCAAATAACGTACTCGCTTTTGTTAACAACGCTTTTACCCCGCGTAAACTCTAAGCAGAAGAGCTGCACCGAGCGTTATCGTACAAACGCACAAAAGCGTTACACGTAATTCGGAGCTCTATTTCGGCATGTAGACATGATGTTTTGGTCCGTGTCAAATACGATGAAAAATTAGTGGGGAGGTAAATCCGGGACGGGAACGGGATACATGACTTGCGAACCCTACTGCAAGGCTGTTTGCCTCTCTTATTATTAATGCAATATGAGCACTTAGGATTAATCAAGTAATGTCCAGAAGAATCAGTCTTGCCTACGTTGACAAACGGAATCGCCTTCCTTGATGCCCTATTATGCTTAGCGTTACGAAAAAAGAAAAACTGTGTTATTGTCGATGTTTTTCGCTGCGTTTTTAAGCCTCGATGATGTAGTTCGGGAAAAAAGATTTTGCAGTTATCAGCTAGATGACGGTATACTTGAGAAGAATAGTCGAAGAATCATGTGCGATGTATAAAGGTTTCGTAAAAAATATTTCAATATGCGGCAGGCACGCTGAAGGCATTTTCCGGCTTGGCCGTAGAGACTGGGTTTCCGATAACGACTTCTTTCGGAAGATATTTGTACTGGAGGGCTGTCTATACGGCGTCGTACTCGTGCCAAATTATGGGATAATATGTTTCTCAATGTCAACGCAAGGATGAAAAATATATAGAAAAGCTAATTTATTCACAATAGATTTCTTAGTTATTAACATTAGAAGATTTTCTAGTTATCTTGCCTATACCATGATTATGTCTCATGTCGACTCTTCGGAAATGTTCCTAAAAATTTATCTGAAATCGTGCCTAGAATAATTGGGAATGTCAATACCGTCGATTGTTCGATCAAACAAGTAGAACGTAGATGCCCTATATCTCTGCGAAAAGCCGCAGCCCAGGGGTAAACGGTTAAACAATTTGTGGTATAGCTCCGTTTGTCCCTAGTCTGAGGGTTACAGCCGATTGTGCTTACTGAACCATCCTTTACGCTTGGGCTACCAGTGAAAAAAAAACGCTGGAACCGAACCAACAGCCAAAGACCCGGTTTGCTCCGGACGCTTACGGGAGTCAGAAATTTTGTTCTCAAGCATACTTCCAGCATAGTAAAGTTTGGAATTGATACTGGGTGACACCCTGCCAATGTGTGCTTTGATTTGGCCGTAAGGCCGTCCTGTTCGCTGAACGCTGACTCTTGGTTCAGAGCCCAGGCTGTCAGGAAACGCTCAGCAGAACTGGTTCGGACGAAGTTCGAAAACAGGAAATGCAGTCGGGCAAGCTTTGGCCGTCCACATATTGGACTAATTAAATTTAGGGACCACCAGTTAAATGAAAAAAGGAAGAAAGGGTAGAGCGCTTGATTGTACAGGGGAGCAGCGTAGAAGTAGTACAGGGAGAAGCACTAGAAAGACAGAAAGACGTGTCTGGTAAATGTTGTACAATCGAAATTATGCACAGAGGGCAACGCAGGCGAGTGAACGCAATATGGTGTCATAAACGGCGAGGGCAATCGGGGGAGAACGTAGTCATCGGCGCCATTTGGTCTCGGCGGCGTTTTAACTCATTTTGTCAGTAGGAACGAGCTCAGTGGCTTTCAGAGCGCCTAGCTACAAATCGAGCAACTGTTAAATTTCACTGGGTTCAAATTACTCTGGAATTTGGTCGTCCCTGGTAACGTTTCTCCAATTGTTTTCCGGCAAAAAAGTTTGGGTTATAAGGTCATTAGGGTCGCTATTTGGGAACAGGGTTCAAAGCAAGAAATATGAGCTGTATTTAAATGCTCCACTCACGTAATGAACTTCTATAAATAAGTTGAAATGTGTAAGACACATAAGAACAAGTTACAGATAAACTGAAAATGAGTATGCTAATGAACACATATTATGAGGGCTATATACGTATTAAATATACGGTCTTATAGAAATATAATGTATACTTACCTTTCAAGTTAACACAGAAAGAATACATGCGCGTTGGAGAAAAGTGTTGGAAGTTGGAAAAAAGGCTGGGACACATGATAATGTAATCGTCCGACGGATGTTCAAAATTATTCCGTGCGATTTGGTACTAACTGTATAACCCCTTTAGTTGATTAAAGTAAGCTATTCCCCATATAGAAAAAATA